ATGCTAGCCTTGTTGGGGTGAGATGATATCTCATTGTAGTTTCGATCTGCATTTCTCTAATGGCTAATGATCGTGAGCATTTCTTCATGTGTCTGAATATCTTCTTTGGTGAAGTGCCTGTTCATATCCTTTGCCCATTTTTAATTAGGTTATTTGTCTTTTTGTTGTTGAGGTTTTGCAGGATCTTGTAGATTTTAGAGATTAGACACTGATCGGATTTGTCATAGACAAAATTTTTTTCCCAGTCTATAGGTTGTATTTTTACACTTTTGGTGAAGTTTTTTTAAAAAGTTTTTTTTTTTATTGTACTTTAGGTGAAGGTTTACAGAACAAATAGTTTCTCCTTACACAATCAGTACACATATTGTTTTATGACATTGGTTAACAAACCCACAACATGTCAAGACTCTCCCTTCTCGACCTTGGAGGACCTTTTTTCTTTTTTGGCATAAATATGCATAGCCAAAGACACACCATTTCAAAATTTCTACACGTACAATTTAGTGACATCGATTACGTTCTTCCAGTTGTGCTGCTATTCTCACTATCCTTTTCCAAATTATTCCGTCATTTGGTGAAGTCTTTTCATGACCATAAGTGTTTGATTTTTAGGAGCTCCTAGTTACCAAGTCTCTCTTCTGGTGCTTGTGCACTGTTACTTATGGTTCGTATTGTGTTTATGCCATGTATTAGGGCTCCAAGTGTTCTGTCTATTTTTTCTTCCATAATGTTTACCGTTTTCAATTTTATATTTAAGTCTTTGATCCATTTTGAGTTAGTTTTTGTGCATGGTGTGAGGTATGGGTCTTGTTTCAGTTTTCTGCAGATAGATATCCAGTTATGCCAGGACCATTTGTTAAAGAGACTGTCTTTTCCCCAGTTAACGGACTTTGGGCCTTTGTCAAATATCAGCTGTTCATAGGTGGATGAATTTATGTCTGGATTCTCAATTGTGTTCCATTGGTCTATGTTGTTATACCAGTACCAGGATGTTTTGACTACCGTAGTGGTATAATAGGTTCTAAAATCAGGTAGTGTGAGGCCTCCCACTTTGGTTTTCTTCTTGAGTAATGCTTTACTTATTCAGGTCCTCGTCCCTTTGCACGTGAAGTTGGAGATTTGTTCCTCCATCTCGTTAAAAAATGCCGGTGGAATTTGGATCGGGATTGCATTGTATCTGTATATCGCTTTGGGTAGAATTGACATTTTCACAATGTTGAGTCTTCCTATCCATGAGCAAGGTATGTTTTTGCACTTATGCAGGTCTCTTTTGGTTTCTGGCAGTAGTGTCTTGTAGTTTTCACTGTATAGATCTTTTACGTCTCTGGTTAGATTTATTCCTAAGTATTTTATCTTCTTGGGGGCTATTGTAAATGGTATTGATTTGGTGATTTCCTCTTCGAAGTTTTCTTTGTTG